TAATTCAGCTTTGTATTAGTTGAACCTGCTCAAAGACAAATCAACAATATAGACAGCCACTTTACACACATAGATACACTCCCCCTTCCATCCCCCTGCATTTTTTCTCTATATTATAACACTGTCTAAGATTACCATTTCCTCCCCTCCCTGGAAAAGAGGCGTTTGTCTTTCTTACACAGGTTTAAGGGGGGGAGCTACACCCCCAAAATCAAAATTCGGCTCAAAATCATGGAATTTGAATTGTAGGCATTTTTAGCTTCCTCAGCCTCTCCTACAACTATTTCATGGCATAAGAACCCCCAAAAACCGTATTTTTTCCCGTACCGGGCATGTTTGTAACCGCCATTTCCTCATAAAGTCAGTATTTTATTTTTCTTTATCGGCCGTTTTCTCAAAATGCGACTTTCCTCTATACCTTTTTGAATAACTCCACCATTTTTCATCCAATCTTCATGAAATTTTCACAGAATGAAGAGAAGAGGTAATACTAAAAATTTGTCTGTTGAATTTTTGATATATGGAATAGATTTTTGTTGGTGGCGTCTGGAGTGTGGACTTTCACGGATTTTTCGCAAACTTGAATGCTACCTCAGGAAAAAATTCATTAAAAATTTTCTAATTCGATTAGGAAAAAAACAACAGACAAATTTTTAGAACTAATGTTTGTAAATACGTATGCAAAAAAACAATCAATTTCCATGAGCGATAAGTGCGGTATTCATTACGTAAGACATGTCAATAAAATCCAATATGGCGGCGTATCAATGGAAACAAAACTTTTTTCTCAAATTTGATTGCGGATTTCAAGACCCCTTACTATGCTTGTTATATGTGTGAAATTTGGTAAAATTCGGTCCAGTAATAAGCGAGATAGCCTCTAGGTGTAGCCCCCCCCCCCCCCCCCCCTTAACTGTACAATTTATTAACACACAGATGCCGAGTCACATTTTTTGGACAGAAGAAAAAAAAAATTGTGCCATAAAGCCCCTATACATTATATAAATATTTATTATTATATTATATATGTGTATGTGTGCCAGGACAAAGGTCCCAGTTGCCGGCAAAGCTATTTTTGAGCAACGAGGTGAAAAGGCAAAAAAAGTCATACCTAGTCAAAAATTTTGTTTTACCAGAAAACACACGTTTCGTTTAACCAATTGAAAGGATTTTATAATATTTTAAGTCTCAATTTTAATAGTTATCTTTGCAAACATGTTGTACTTCGCCAAAGGTTAAAATGTGCTAGAAATTGGGTTTTTCTAAATTAAACTTTTCTTTTACACCCTATGTTACAAAATGTGATGTATCTTTAACTCACTCACTGCCAGGCATTTCTCGGCAGGATAACTGAGGAATGCCAGGCTTTCGGGACCATTTTCAAAACCTCACTGTGAGCTTATTATTTTGTGTACAGCATTGAACTTTTCCACAAACAATGACATTGAAACATACTCAACAAGTCAAAAAACAATTTTGTGATACCTTTACCGTGTGAAATTTTATGAGTTTGTGAATATGTGGCAAAATCGAGAAAAAAACCTTTTACATAACATTTATGTGCTTGGTACATGCAGTCGATATGCATGCCTTTATATCTTTGTCTCTGCAAGAAATAGATGTTGTATCAACTGACAAATGTTGAAGACTCACTTTGAAAAGATATCTGACAAATTTTATATAACTGGAATATCATTTAAGTCATCAGTCCACTCATCCTGAGCATCAACATCTGGGTGTGTGGTTGCAGGACAGGGCATGGCCACTGGGGGAGGGGTGCCACTATTTGAAGTTTGTTGTGTAGACATAGGAGGGTCTATGTCAGCTGTATTCCTATCATTTGGGGTGTAAATCTACGCCAGGAAGCATCGGATCATAGGTCTGAGCATGGGGAACACCTGATTCTAGATCTAGGCCTAGATCTAGAACAATTTTCAGCTTCACTTGTGTCTGCACCTCTCTTATTTCCTGTCCTATACTCATTATCAACTCTGTATGATGGTTCACCATCACTATCATCTGCAAAAAGATCTTAATCTGACCCTTTATTGACGAATGGGTCCATCAATTCAAATGTTCCGACCTCGTTGAGAGGCCGTCGCCATGGTAACTGAGCATTAGTAGTTTTTAGTTCGTTTCGGGTGAGTTTGAAAAAGTCCAATTTTTAAGTAGCTTATTCAAGGGAAGTTACTGCAACAAAGCGGAATCGAAACTAAACTGGATGTCGCCTACTTCCGACTGCCAAGCCCGAAACGCGTCGGGGAATGTTTGAAAAATAGTAAAAACGCACCTGACGCGTTTCGGGTTTGGCAGGCGGCGGTCTATGCGGATCAACCGACAGGGTTCGGGCATGGCAGTGAGTGAATTAAAACTACTCAAGATATTTCAAAATTTTTAAATTCTGTGTGTTTAGCATTGAACTGGCTACACGAATGTTCCCTTATTTGAATATCCAACATTTCCAACAACTGGGACCTTTCTCAAGGTACACACACACACATATATAAATACGTAAAACTAAAATACAGCTGTAGACATGAGCACAATTCAATACAACATTCAATAATCTCCTTCAGTACCAGGGAAGTTCCCAAACAGCACCAGTCAATATACCCAATTATAATAAGCTTTGCACACGATGAAGCAAGGCAAAATCATGAGCTTTGCATTTAAAAGAAATTTCCCCATAAACTTACGGGATAGCAAAAAAAAAAAAAAAAAAAGCAAAAAAAAAAAAAAGCCCACTGACGAGGATATTATAACTCAATTAATAATAGCAGACTTTGCACACAATAAAGTCAGGTAAAATCATCCTTTCCATAGGAAAAAAAAAGTTTCCCTTTACCAAAGCACATGAAAAATAAAACTCAACTATACTATCTGAATATCACCCTTGATATGGATATACAATTGCATTGTTTTGTTTCACTTTTTAAAATCAAATTCATAAAAGCTTGAAGGTTCAAGTTCAAATGAAAGACAAATAAAGGACAACAACTTTTTAAAACTATGAACAGATTGTCCCTTAGACACTTTCACTACTACTTTATTCTAGGCAGCCCTATGAGTGTACTAATACTAATGTAACTTAGTTTTTAAGCACATTTCATGATATTTGACTAGAAGTATTTGTATTTTCTCAGCCAGTGTGAATGAATCCTAGACATTTGAGGGTAGCAGTAACTTACTGAGGAAGTGTAGCTGAAGATGCTCTGAGAAGTTTTGATAATTTTCATCCATGCCTAACAAATATTATCTCCAACATAAGAATAGACAGTGTTCTTTTTGGCTTCCTACTCCTGTTTTTATTTAATCATGGATCAACGAGGAGATTTAATGTTGCTTTGTTTTACACAATAGAAAAAAATAATCTTTATATTGTAGGCAGTATGTTTGCCGTGAACAAGAAAAATATATAAGTGGGTTTCTTACTCATTTTTAAAATTTGGCTAGATTATTAGGTAGTATAACACAAACACAGAAATTTCAAAATCGTGGATAGCTTGTACAATTTGCCTTTCCCCCAATTGATACTCTTTAATTTTTTGTCATGAATTAACAAACCGATTTATGGTTATGTCAAACACATCATTTCTCAATCCCTGATGTGTTTGAATTAACTGTATGAGTTGGAGGTGAGATAATGCTCAATACAAAAAGGCTCTCTGCTCTTTACTAAACCTAACTATGATTTCGACAGGCAACGGAAATTTGAGAAAGACAATATCTGCAAACTTCCGTTGACTTGTTAGACTGCTGTAGCATGCAATATGGCGTGAACAATGCGACTTTTAGTGGTAGACCTAATACGAACTGGTATGTACAGTGGAACTCGGATTCAACGAGGTCGCCGGGTCTGACCTACCAGCATTAGTCAATTAAGAGGCAAACCTCCGAGTTAAACAGACATCTTTGAAAGGACAGAGCCAAATAAGAAATTCGTTTAAAGTGCTTTTTTCAAGATCACAACGTTGGACTGAGCTGAGGCTTGAAACCCTAAGCCTGCAATTCCATGATAACGGGTCCAGTAGCCCAATCACCCAGCTACCGATGCCACACAGAGAGATTGTATTTTCATTCATACAGTATGATTTCCTCAGTACCGGTATTGGGCAGAGATCATTAATGTTGCCCAGACCAGGCATGCCACCGGGATTTTGTGGAAATAACTGAAAATTTACAAATTTGAGGTTGAAAACAAAAAGACAATTAGATTCTACTTAACAACTAATATGGGGTTAAACAGTAAACAAATGCTGAGAATAATAACTGTTCTTACAGAATCTCAGAGAATATTACAGCATAAAACGACAGTCTCTGTATGAATATATCATGATTCTATTTAAACAAACTCAAATCTCTACCCTCAGGCTTGATAGCCTGAGGTTCTGCTATTATTTGCACACAAGAATGACAAGCAGTCAACTCATTCAAGCACTGATGATTTTTCCCTTGTCTTTAGTTACATCGTGTGGCCAGCCTCATGTTATATTGTACTCCATTGTTCTGATTTCAATGTATTCTAGTTGCAAAAACAGGAGTCAGTACATTGCAAAATTGAAATTCCACAGTGCACAGGCATTAATTATAATAATTTGGGGCTCAGACTGAACATTTTTTCAACAGCAATGACAGCAGCGGCAAAATAACTTACAAAAGTTGAAAAGTTCAGTTGTTCCTCATATATCGCAAAATGACGACGCAACGACAATTTGCACCACCAAAAGGGTTAAATTTTTGTACATGAACCAAAGAAAGTCAGCAACAGTAAGTTCAGTAAGTTCAGTAAGTGAACAGAAATAGTTCCCGCTCAGCAAAAAGATTCAACACAATACCAGTACCTACAACAGGTTGAAGAAGCACCTCATAATACTTATATTACACCACAAGTCAAAGTTAAAAAACACAAAACAATCTTGGCCAAAAAAAATGCGAGCCAGGTGGCACCTTTCGTATAAATAAATATTAAGTTATTGAACTCTAGACTTTTATTCATTTAATTTTTTTTTTCATTCATAGAGCTAGAGCGTATTTATTTTAATATAAAACAAATCAAAGATACATCCTGTATAGCAAACATACGGGGCACCTGTGGACCAGACCAACACTTGAAGAGATGAAACAATTCACTGCAGTAAATTTGCTGCACTGATTGTTGCTGGTATGGCATTCTGCGCCTTGATTAGATGATCTTAAAGCAGAATGCATGATACAGCTTTGCCTGGGAGGTAGACGTAGAGGAAATAGATTGTCCAAATACTACTCATCTCCCTTCCGACCGTGACTCCCTTGATTTGCTCCACAGGAGAGACACAGCTAATATGTTTAGAATCGAGGAAGGTGTAAGGTGTGTCTTACTATTTTACAGGTGTGGTATAATAATAATAATAATAAAAATAATCGTTTGCCCATTGTGAAATGATGATGACCTTTACATCTGAGATTACAGGTGTGATAGGAATATAATGTTGTTAATGATAGGGAATTTTGTTTTGTTTTGAATTTTGCTTGGTTGATTGTTACTTAATACCTTATAAAAACTTCCCTCGTTGCAGTTACTCATAACTATTAACATAATGAAAAAATGCAGAAAAGCGTGTTTTATTATGTTTTTATGAAAACTTGGATATCATACCATGGAGCTCAAGAATATGTCATATATGAAGTATGTAATACATTCCAAAATGAGTAAGTAAATAAATGGGAGTGTTGTGTTGTCATTTTTGATTCACATACTCTTCCACGTTTCTAAAAGAAAATTACGTTTTACATTTTTTCTCAGTTATCAAAGAAAATGTTGCAGCATGTTACATGAAAAAATGCACTTGTATAATATAAGAAAATCCATTCCCAAGAGAAGTCCAAACTGGAAAAAAAGAAAAATGGTTCCCGATTTGGACCCAACAAAGCAGCACTCTCAGGTTGATCAACACAGCTATTTACAAGCGGCAAATAAAGTTGCAAACAAGTATTTTCTCCTTTCACACTCCTTATCTTGTACATAATTTTGAAACAAAAATGCAACATTCCAGCACCAAGCACTCTTTTTCTTGTCAGAATAGAAAATTAATGACATAACACCAAAGTCTCCTTTTTCCCTCAACTAAGAAAAAAGGACTGAGATTACTTCTAGTACAATTACTAAAGATAGGAAAAATACAAAAGCAAAGATGGTTTATTTCAGTTTTTGATTGATCTTACTGAAATTGGTGTAAAAATGGCCATGCTGTGTGAGTGCAAACCTCCCATTCATTGATTTCCTTATGACATTTTTGACAAAAAAAACTTGTAAACACACCTAGTTAGATCTAGCCAAGCTATCCTAAAGACTTAAAGTTAAAAATGGAACAGACAAAAGAGTGTTTGACAAAGACCTTTTTTCTAAAAATAAATATTCCTTCCGATTTTCAGTAAAAAATTTGAACCCTAAATGAATAATGCAGGACAAAACTTACCAAAAAAACCCAACTGAACCCATTCTAATTCTTGAGTCTGTAACTTTCCTGGCCCACTTTTCTAAACGCATTATAAATACATGAAATGTGAGGCAAGATGGTTTTTTTTTTTCACTTCTTCATAGCAATGATAAAAAGCAGATACTCACAAACAAATAGATAAAACCAAGCCATGAAATCAAGGTTCAAGGTTGGGATAGGAGGAAAGAGAATATATGATTTAACACCCCTTTGCAGATATGCAATGATATATCGCCTTCAGTAAAGGAACAAAGTCATTCATCTTCCAATTCAATGCAGTGTCTGCTCATGTCATCAAGTGAGTATCAGATCAGGCTTCACAGGGAAGAGTGTACATATATCTGGAACCTGTGAAGTTCTGTAAAACCTTCTTGCGCACTACACATTTACACCAAGGTGTGTGGAGGTGGGGACTTTGCATAGGTCTTATTTTTTTGTGAGGAATGCTACAAACAAGTTAAAAAAAGAGATTAACTTCCAGAGTTCACAAAAGCCTTTCAGCTGTAGGTCTACAAATGCCATCAGTAGTGCCCAACAATAGCAGTATTTCAGAGTCAAACCAGGAAAAAAATAATTTTCATTGTGCCAACCCCTCTAGCCTAACAAGTAAAATGTTTTGAGAGGCCCAGCCATGAAATTGGAGATACTGAGTGCATCCGCTAAAGGTATTAGAAGATATTATGTTTTCTAAATATCTGAAGCAGATTTTTTTGCAAACAATTGAATATTGTGAATTGTTGTTTGAAATGTGAAAAAGAACAGTACAGGATAAAAAAAAGTGCACTACACATTAGTATTTCAAGAGAACTGTGTCATTATTATGAATCAAAATGAAATCAGGATTACGTGATTAACTTATCTAAAAGAATTAAGAAGCAATTTACAATAAAGTCAGTAGCAACACGCCTCTGTAATCTCCGAGATGGCTGCAAAATTGCAACAAAGGCAGATTTTATGTTTACATCATTTTGATAGTATGTCCATTGTTTATATGCATGGTCATTTCTTCTGATGAAAATGTACAAGCTATTTAAAAGTCTGGAACATTTTAAGCAAAGAGGCAGGACTTTTTAATGGAGATAAATGAGTGATTTTTAATGACTTAGGTCTTATTTTGACTGGTTGCATTCTGTAGAAATGTTTCTTTCTTTATAAAATATGAATAATACACAAAATACAGAAATAAAATTTGAGACCAATTTTCTACAAGTCACACCACATTTTAGAAAAACAATTTTTCTGCATTAAATATGAAGTTGGTGGTATGTTCACAAAGAAACCACCTATTCATGCTTTCTCTTGCCCAACCAGCTGGGTCCAGAGCTTGACGTTTGTGAACTCCCAGAATTTTGAAGCTCTGCAGATGACGAATCTTCCGACGTAGAATCCTCATCACTTTTACTGAGCTCTCCCTCATGTTGCTGCTCTGCAAAGGTAAACCTGCTTCCTGTCTGTTCAAAGTCAACTCTCCTTTTCTTCACTCCAAACCGTGACTGTCTTTGAAACGTAGAACTGGTATCAGCAGATGGGGATCGCGGCGGGCTGGTGTGACTTTCATTTTCACTCACAGTTCTTCCGCGAGAGGCTGCTGCCACCTCAGCCATGAGGTCCTGGATGTCGGAAGAGACTGACTCGGCGCCATCAGAATCATCATCGGAATCACCCAGATGGAGGGTGAGATGGCTAGCCCGAATGTCTTCATCGCTGTCTTCATCGTCTGTGCAACCCTCAAAAACACTTTTCAAGGGCAGACAAATAGGACATATGTAGCCTGCTGACGCTGCGTGACCTGCAGATGACTGCGGCACGTCCAGAAGCCAGGTCATGTTGTTGGCGAGGAATGCCCGGAGACCTGGTGGCATCGCTAGAGAGTCCAAAACGCTGAGGTGAGCTGGGACGAACTGTCGCAGTCGTCGACAACACAGAAACTGGAGAGACATGGGGAAAGACCTCGAGGAGATGACTCGCATGCCACTGCGGGCAGCTGTAGAGCAAGCCATCGGGAATAATGTCCTGCCCCTCAGACCTCTGAAAGCAATACCTGCAGAAAAGAAACATAGGGTGAATATAAATCTATCAAATTTTTTTCTGTCTGGATACTGGACCTATTAATTCTTTTTTTTTTTTCTCTGTAACTTACTCAGGTTGACATTCATCACAGGTAAAGAGGGCACTCCATTAGTTCAGTTAGTATCATGCCGGACTACAGAGTGAAAGGCCCTGGTTCGAATCTCTGACTTGGCATTCTTGAACTCAGATTGTTTTGTAGAGTTTTCAAGGCAATTCTTTTTTAACAAAGTACTTGAGAAGCTACAAATTCAATGTATAATAATAATAATAAAGACCATTTGTATAGCGCATGTCTCCACTCGAAAGCAAGCTCTATGCGCTTTACATTACATTATTACTCCAGCAGACCACAGAACACTTAGATACATTCTCAGCTTCCCAGGAAGCATACAGTGCAAGCAGCTGGTTAAGTGCTCAAACACTAACAAACTGACAAGATCTTTCACTGTCTATAGCTGGGTACCCATTTTCACCTGGGTGAAGTGGGGAAAATTTGTGTAAAGTGCCTTTCCCAAGGACACATCATTCGGCCCGCGGCTCCAACCCCTGAACCCGCAACCTCACGATTACGAGTCTGGTAGCCTAACCACTAGGTACCTCTTCCAAACGAAAAAACGTGAACACAAACAAATGAAAACTCACTGACAACCAAAAAAACCCCCCCAAAAACATTTAGCCCTGTCAAGGATCTGAACCAGAGCCACCAGCAATAAGAAAAATAAACTGATTACATTTCCCAGAGGAAAATGAAAGCATTATTACTGAGACGCATACCCAAACTCTGCCGGTTTTTAAAGAAGGCCAGAGTGCCATGCCACATGTCCAGGTGGACACCGATGATAGCCCCTTGACCAAACCGACTGCAGTACTCCCTCTTCTTGCCACCATGCTGGACCCGGCCATCGTACGAGATGCCCCAACTGTCCATGTCAGTGCCCAGCATACTGTAGAACACGTTGTGGTATTTTCGGAGATCAACGTTTGCTGTCCCGACGCCGACCATCTGAAAAAGAGAAATTACTCTACTCTTATTCCTGCCTGATTGAATGATAAGTTCTTGAAAAGGCAAGGAACATTAATTTACTTTACTTGCTTGTTGGAAAATAAACCTGGGTAAAAATTAGTCGATCTGAAACAGTAAAACCTGTGTACTCTCATTCCTGACTGCATTATGAGTTCTTCTTGCTGGGCAAAGAACATTAAGTACTTTCTTGTTGGAAAAACGGCCTACATAAAAATAGAATAATAGTTGTCTTTAAAATCAACCACAGACTATCTCCTAAATTAAGTCACAGAATGTAGAAAGGAAGATGATGACGAAGGGAAGGAGAAGAGCAAGGTGAAGAAAGAGGGAGTGGAAAAGCAAAAAGACTACCACAAAGTTCAAGGCAGCATGGTGAGGATAAGATAAGATACGAACATGGCCCATTGTATATCTCAAAATTTCCCCTGAATTGAACAGTGTGAAAATAATACAAATAGCTGTTCCAAAGAAGTAATCTCCCTGAAAAAAATAAATTTTCAGTAATTTTAGCAATTTCATATTCTGGAAAAAAGAGTACAATACTCCACTTCATTGTAAACATCTCACTGGTGGAAGCCAACAATGTATTTTCAGTTTTAACATTGATTAAACAATCAATTTCACTCTGATTTCTAGTTCACTATACAAAATGAAATATAATGGAGGATCTCATACACTCCCTTCTGATTTAGTTAAATGATTTAAGTGAGGCATGCTAACACATTGAGTAACTTCTCACAATCCAAGAATAGAAAAATATGAATTTAAAATCAACAATGGGGTTAAATTTTAAGATTTTCAATATATATATGAGCAATTGCCAAAACGTGAGACTCTTTTGAGACTCAGTGGGGCAAACAATTTTTTCTTACCAATTTGACTCCCTTTTCTGTCAGTCACAGATTGACATTTAGTGCTCATATTCCTAGAGTATCAGAACAAGGAGATGTAGGGTATTGGAGATATGGGTCTATTGGTGTGGCAACCACTGTATTTCTTGTATGTAACAGTGATAACAAAAACATAAAAGCCGCAAGGCAAATTATGGACTTTAAATTCCTTTTGTTTAGTAAACAAAGACTTTGTACACTATGAACTCCATTCATAATGGTAAAATAAATGACAAGCTTTGTAACAATGACGCAGTGCTCAGAACATGTCATCATTGTTATGTACAAGAAAGGACACACATTGGACATTATCATTGACAACACATCACAATAGTGAAAGGCTGTACAAATACAGTTATCAAAGCCTCAGTACCAGAAAAACACATGTGGAAAACGATTTTTAAACTAATATAATGAGGCAAAAGCACAAAATCAATGGAGCTGACTCGTACATAACAGTGATGACAAACACGACTTGTACGAAACAATGATGACACAATGTACAGGAAAAGACAAAGTCATGCCTCCAGAGAGAAATGCGCACTCTAAGAATTAAAAAAACAAACCAAGAGAGATTTCTTTTTCTTTGAAACAGATATCAGGTCATATCAAAGACAGTGGATGATCACAATTATGCGGCTAATTATGACAAACAGTACTCGTACATAACAGTGATGACAAAACATACTGGGAAAAGGTAAAATCAGGCCTACAAAGAACAAATTTGCACTATGAGATACACAGATCAATAAAGGCGTATTTTGCTTCTAAATTAATCTTGCATGTATGAAATATATGTTGAAAACTTATTGATATTAGCAATGACGACAAATATTACTTGTACATAACAATGATGACACAATGACACAATGTATTGGAAAAAGGTGTATCATACCAACAAAGAAAAAATGTGTACTTTTGAGTTAGACAGATAAACAAGGACATGTTTGTTTATTTGTTTGAGTAAAAAGAACACACCTGATTTAAAACTTATTTGAACTTAGGACAATGTAATTTCTAGTAACTATCGATTTGGCATTTTTCTATTTACAAGGGGCTTAAATCCAAGAAGTGACTACTTTTATCAGCATGCCTCACATATAAGGCGGAACAAGGATGCATTCATAGAAAGTAATGAGCTCATACTCATAGTACAGAAATTACCATGTCAGTTCCATAGACAGGTGTCGTCATCTTGACTTCCCAGAAGTATTGATCCTTGTCCATGGGTAGTTGGCCTCTGATTGCTGCCGTGCCGAGGCTGTAGTCTTTGTGGAAAATCACCTGACGTCCTTTCTCCTGGAGGCTTGTGGCTTCACCACGGTGCTCTGGGTCCCAAGTCCAGTCAAAGTCTAGGGACGAAAAAGGAGATATGACGGACAACATGATATGAGATCACAAAATAGTAAATATTTACCAGTTGTGAAAGGAACTTAAATGTGTAAAGACAGGTAACTAATTAGAACTTAAATGTTAACAAGATTGTTATCTATGGGGAAAAAAGGGTGTTTAAAAACTCTACAAAAAGAATTTTTTTTTGAGGAAGACATAAAAAGAAAAAGCACTGTATAAAATGCTTTATTTACATTCTGCAAAAGTAAAATCACCAGCAAATCCCATGTTTGAATACCATCCTCTAAAAATTGGATAATTTTTTTTTCTAAACAGGCATACTGTGTACACTAAAGTTGGAACAACAAAGATTTCTAAACATTTTAATCTAAGTAAAAAAACAACAACCCACAAAGCATTGCCTACAGCAGCACTTCCAAAGGGAAGAAGAAAGAGGAAAAGCAAAGTTGAAAAATGTAATGTGGGGAGGCAGCAGAAAGTGAAAAGAATGAAAGCAGAAAAAATGAAGAGAATTTGTTTGTTTTTCTTGAACCAACACCAGATGGGTGCCCTTCTATACGATTACGAGTTGAAACTATAAAATTATAAAATGATAGAGGTACGGAAAAAAAGATTGAAAGAATAGAGAGGCAGCAAACTTACATTTCTCATCCTCTCCACATCTGCAGTCCCTTTCTCTTCCTTGTAAGACACACTTGCAAAACGTCTCCGTCTTCAAAGGCTTCCCATCAGGAAAGCGTAAAACAAGAGCCAAACTACGAAGTTCCTTTTGAGTCATTTCAGCTTTCTCAAAAAGGGATGCTGATGTCTGGCATCCTCTGTCTGTTCTGGGGCTATGAGACTTAGGACTAGATTCCCCAGAGCGCTCAGCAGCTGTCCTTGATTTGATCTTCTCAAGTAACCGAAGTTTAGATAGCCGGAAACTGCAATATTTGCAGCTAGAACGACTCACTTCTTCAGTATCCATAGAAGTCCCTTGGCTGACAAGTCTTTCTGAACCACTCATTTTGTCACCACTAGCAGAGATACTCTCACTAATGTGAACCACTGATGAAGCTCTTTCCTGTAAATCTACAGGGTCCGGAGTCAAAGACAAACCTTGATCCATATTATGAAAAAGTATTGAAAAACCAGAACCTCCATCCATTAAAACTTGTTTTCACTCCCATCACAGTTGATACACCTCTATCTCAATTCACAGAACAGTAGTGCAATCTGGAGAAGGAAAAAGATCATGTCTAGTCAGTACATGATTACAAGATATACTCATGTTGATGATTAAACTTTTTCATCATATTCCAAGAATAGTTTGATCTATTTTTTTTTAGAATGAGTGTATTTTATTAAGGCACGTGAGAGCACATGTTATCAATATTTTATAAAGTACAGTCGAACCTGTTCCAATCTAATGCCCCCCTGAATAAAACAATCACCTGTACAAACAGCCAGTTCCCATTTCTTCTCCATTTAAAAAAAAACATTTTAATGGCACTGTAGAAGACGTCCAACTTTCTGAGACAAGACAACACGTTTTCACTTTTCTTCTCGACAATGGGTGGCCATCTTAGACAATTTCGACTGTACTTGTAGTAGACAGAAATTAGGTCTTGCATGATGCCTTATAAACAACCAACATTCTCAAAGCTGGGAAAAAAGCATCCCTAACACAACAAATCTTTATAATAATAATACTTGTAAGTTTGAAAGTGAATATAATAAACTTCTTTAAATCCCTTCAAGCCCTTTATGACATAAACGCCGTTCATCATTTTTTTATACAGCAAAGGAGCTAAGATGCTGCTGTGACAAGCTGCATTCGTCATGTCTTGTAAAGCACGAGGACCATGATGAGATTTATATATCGCTCATCATGGGCTGTATTCTGCATACTGCTTCTATAATTAGATGCATTTCATAAAACTAATTGCAGATTCACATTCAGCAAATCTTTTCCCTTTAGAGAAACAAGGTGACCAGAAAAAAAGTTCGTCCAAAAGGAAGTTGATAAAACGTAAATTTTAAGCGGCATTTTTTTACCATTACTAGTAGCATGCATTATGAGTCACCTGAATCTTTGTTTGCCAAAATTTTCACAAAGCGAATTAAAATATGAAAATGAAAAGTATTTAATTTCTTTCTGACATAACTATGATGATACAGATGTGATCACAAAGACATTTATATATTTAGAATTTCTTTTTTCTGTGATTTATATGCTCTTCATGCTTATGTTTGAAAATTAAGTCAATTAGAAAAAGTCTATTAAAATAATTTTGTGTTCCATAAATTTCTATTGGGCATCTTTTGTTTTATGTCATCATGGTTATGTTCGAAAGATATTTGTGAGGCAGTGTGGTGAAATCAGGCGCTGTCAAAATAATGAAGGTCAAGAAACTTTCCTTTTTCTGCAAGTTAGGGAATTTTTATCAAAATTTGTTTTTTGTCCCAACACCTTTCATGCCCTTTAAAGAACTCATAATCAGGGTGGATTTTACTGAAAAACGATTAATAAAGGCATAAATAAGATAGACGTAAATTTTCAGTTTCCACGGACTCTCAGACTAAGGAAATAAATCAACTTCGGCGGCCTTTTTCTCTCTAATTTTACCTCTGAGACCAGGCGACCGCCAACTCCTTCAATCGAAATGTGTTGAATAGTATCCAAGATAAAATGCAGTGTTGATAATGAGAAAAAGTAAAAAAAGAAGAAAATATTCCGACCCCGTTGCAATCCTGAAATTTCAATAGAACTCTAATACTAGAACTACAATAAAATAACACCTTTCAAAGGTTTGTAGTTATATTTTGGAAAAAATAAAAAAAAGCAGAAATCCGTGGATCCGCGGAAAACTATCAGCACTGAAATTGATTTTTTTTTTTTCATCAAAAGCTAGACAAATTAGACAAACTGTAAGATAATACCAATAATTCCATATATGCCCCAAAATTTACGAGCGCCTGATTCCACCACGTCGTGACACATTTGATATTTTGCAGAGATTTATAGATCTTTAGGAAAATGTGAAAAAAGTGGCATTTTTTCATCATTAACATGCATTGTAAGTCTAATTGAATCTTCTGAATCGTTGTTTGCCCAAATTTTCATAAAAGAAATTAAGATATATGAAAACGGAAAGTTTTTCATTTCTTTTGAACATAACTATGATGACACAAATGCAGACACAATGGCATTCAGAATTTCTTTTTTCTGTGATCCTCACCATTTTATATGCTCTTCATGCTTATCTTTGAAAATTGAAGAAGAAAAGTTTAAAAATAATTGTGTATATATGTTCAAATTCTAAAAAATGTGTCATCATAGCTATGTCCGAGAGAATTTGACTTGATGTTATCGCCAGTTACACAGCTTGGCATGCCATCTGTAGGTCTGTATACGTGTATTTGTAGGAGATACATGTAAGAATACAAAAATTCAAGTAAAAACGAAATATAAAAACTTTATTATCAACCCTCTGTGCTACATTTTAGGTACCCTCCTATTGGCAAAGGCTCACACATACAAAGTTACAACATATCGTCCAGATACCCCCAATTTTGAGTATTTAAAGCACATTCTGACTCGTTGGTGAGAATAAAATTGATACTATTCTTACCGCGGGTGAGAATAACGACAGCCTACTATTCTCACCCAGTTTTTTCGTTTCGGGCATCATAGGACCCCTGTCACTTAGCGCTCCAGAGGCGACAAAACTCCCCTCCCTCTCTCACTCCGCTGAGCGTGCGAGGCGACTAAAATGGCCAACGGGCGGGCCAGCTCTCGAGCGCTTGAGGCGGCTATTGTCGATTTGGGGTTAAACCTTATCTTTGGAGCAAATATAGCGTCACCTTTTCTTGCTACAGTATTTATTGATTCTGTAGGCCTAATGGACAATTTTACTCTTGAATGGTTTATGAACCAATCAAAATTAAGAAAAAAATAAGCCTTGGGTCAAGGCACTCATCATCATCCAGTGCCAGATCTGCGACAGACGCCGGCGATCATGGTTCTCCATTCATTCCTTTGCTCGGATGCTCTTCTAAAAAAAGCTACGTTTCCCTGATATCCTCTCCTGCCACCCATTTGTTTAGGTTCCCTTTAAAGTATGTTGTTCTGGGCCTTTAAAATAAAACTGTGGGTTCTGTTAGGGATAACAATTTTAAACATGTTTTTTAGTGTGGTAAACATGACAATTCTAACATTAAAATGACAAACTATTAAGTAACATTATTTCATTAAACAGCTTTCAGTTAAAGGCTATTATATTTTAAAACTCTGGCAAATGAATTCCTTTCTGAATTTAGAATATATACACTTGTCTTGGGTTTTGGTGAAGATATACGTGCATACTCTCTCAAGATTTTAAAAATGAAACAATAACAATCCCCTAGAAAAATCGGCCAGCGTTCTGGGGCAGGTCACGAACGGTCACTCTTACAATTCACAAATTGTTTAGTATCATCTGTTCTCAACACCCAGGTAGGCCTAAGAATAAAAATCCATTGTATTCTCAGACCGGGTGAGAATAATACAGTAGTCTCCGCCTAAACGCACGATGCTCGGGAGGGCTCTTTAGCGTGTGTTTATACGGAGTGTGCGTTTACATATGAACCTTTGCAAAGGGAGGAAGGGACGCACTCATCTCATTGCCTTGATATTCTAGTGACTTCCCTTTGGGGTGGGGGTCACTTTGGGCCGATAAAGCGACGGCACGTGATGGTTTTGTGAAGGATTCCCCGATTGTGGTAAAGAATACAAAGGCGTTGAATGTGTGTGTGTGTGTGTGGGTGTAAGGGG